TATTAAATTTTGAAAATGCTTAAAGATACACGGGTTGGATGGCTGAATGGTTAGCGCGTGCATGTTGTGTCATAAAGTCTGACATTGAGTCAACTGGCATGGTTTTGATTCCCCAGTTGTACGTGACAATGAGTAGGGTCGCCTGTCCAACCTCGTGGGTTTTTTCCGGTTTCCTCCCACTGATAAAGACCCCTACATTCAAGCGAATTATTGCTATAAAATTGAACCATATGTTAGAACCAAAATGACCTGGTTTGTATGGAGTGGTTAAATCCTCCCTCCCTCTCCCCCCCCCCCCTCTCTCTCTCTCTCTTAAAGATACATTATGGGTGATTAGATAAAGAGCTGACAGTTCTCACTATAATAGTTAAAAACTAGATAATGTCAAGGGAATATACTGAAAATTTCAGTCAAATTACTTCACTCTAAGCCGAGAAAATCTCATCTTAAATTAACTGTAGCCTTGGTTGTCATTGTCACGATAATTAACAAAGTCTTGATGATCCATTTTTGTATTTTATCAGATCGGATTCAAAATCCAATGAAAATCCGACACATAAGATGGCATCGAGAGTTGATTATGGTCTGGATAAGTTAATTAATGTCTAATTAATAATTTATATAACATGTCAGGCTTAAAGAAAGACCTGCAATAGGCAGATTTACCTCTTGCATAATGTATGTTTAAATGTATGTTTAACTTTTATTGTGTCATGTTGGAGCTTTAAGGTGATTCCACACCTGTATTTTTGAACTAATTACTCAACTGACTTATAATACATGTAGCAAGTGATAGCTTGTTTTAATTTTACATATGTTTTACATATGTCACGTCAAACCCTACCTCTCCTAAAATCATCAGGATATGTTGTAGTATACAATAAAATTAGCATATTGTTGTCAGTCTAATACAAGGTGTTCAAAAACACACAGAAATAGGATGAAGAAACATAGTCAGGGATTTGACAGGCCTCTTGATACGCCCACCCATCAACGCCCACCAACAGCAGCATGTCATCCATGCCTGATAAACTTTCTCGGACAACACCAGGACATCCTAGCCAACTCTTATTCACCGAGCTATGACCTTGACCCCTATTTCTATACTGATCTTATTTATGACCCAGTGAGCGAGAGAGAGAGCGAGAGAGAGAGAGAGAGAGAGAGAGAGTTTGACACAAACTAGGTCATTTCAGGACTAACCTAAGGTTCAATTCTATTTCAATAATTCGGCTGCGCGTAGGTTTAGCAGTGGAAGGAAACCAGAGAAGACCCACGAGGTTCGACAGGCAACCATTCTCCTTGTAAGGTACAACCGGGGAATCGAAACTGCGTGAGTTGACTCAATGACAGACCTTATGATACAACGCGCATGTGTTAACCATTCGGCCACCCAACCCCCTGTGACCTAGTGAACAATCCCTGCCAACTTGATAAAAATCTCTAAAGAACCTTGATCTACTGTAGACAAGGTGGACAGACAACCCAGAAAAGGGTTGACAATATACAACGGTGCTCAAATAAATATTCACATTCGGATCTATTTAATCTGTTTTAAGGATTTTCTTTAATTCAACATCAGTTAAAACCAACGTGATTCAATCGGAAGATTCATTCTCACGCAATCTAGTATAATTAAAGTTTGATTAACAACAACAAATGATTCTGGATTGCGAGACGTATTGTCCCGTCAATAATGGGTGTTGAATAAAAAGGTATATTTGTACTAACAATTGGTGGATAATTTGATTTTATAAGATTGTTATGGTTGGGATATTTTATATAGATGTAAAATATTATCATCATGACTCATACAGAGTACAAATAATACAGACCATTAAAACTGATGATGTTATATAGAGGAAGGGGGGGGGAGGGTCATTACATTTCACAGACAATATTGCCATTCACTATGAAGTCCCTACAACATACATTATTACTATGTATCTGTATGATATTCCATAGACTATATTACCATGAATCTGTATGACATCCCATAGACAATATTACCATGGATCTGTATGATATCCTACCCATCAACAATATTATCATGAATCTGTATGATATCCCATAGACAATATTACCATGATCTGAATGATATCTCATAGACAATATTACCATGGATCTGTATGACATCATATAGACAATATTACCATGATCTGAATGATATCTCATAGACAATATTACCATGGATCTTTATGATATCCCATAGACAATATTACCATGGATCTGTATGATATCCTACCCATCAACAATATTACCATGGATCCGTATGATATCTCATAGACAATATTACCATGGATCTGTATGATATCCCATAGACAATATTACCATGATCTGAATGATATCTCATAGACAATATTACCATGGATCTGTATGATATCCCATAGACAATATTACCATGGATCTGTATGACATCATATAGACAATATTACCATGATCTGAATGATATCTCATAAACAATATTACCATGGATCTGTATGACATCCCATAGACAATATTACCATGGATCTGTATGACATCATATAGACAATATTACCATGATCTGAATGATATCTCATTGACAATATTACCATGGATCTGTATGATATCTCATTGACAATATTACCATGGATTTGAATGATATCCCACCCATCAACAATATTACCATGGATCTGTATGATATCCCATAGACAATATTACCATGGATCCGTATGATATCTCATAGACAATATTACCATGATCTGAATGATATCTCATAGACAATATTACCATGGATCTGTATGATATCTCATTGACAATATTACCATGATCTGTATGATATCTCATAGACAATATTACCATGATCTGAATGATATCTCATAGACAATATTACCATGATCTGAATGATATCATATAGACAATATTACCATGATCTGTATGACATCATATAGACAATATTACCATGGATCTGAATGATATCTCATAGACAATATTACCATGAATCTGTATGACATCCCATAGACAATATTACCATGGATCTGTATGATATCCTACCCATCAACAATATTACCATGGATCCGTATGATATCTCATAGACAATATTACCATGGATCCATATGATATCCCATAGACAATATTACCATGGATCCATATGATATCCCATAGACAATATTACCATGATCTGAATGATATCCTACCCATCAACAATATTACCATGGATCTGTATGACATCATATAGACAATATTACCATGATCTGAATGATATCTCATTGACAATATTACCATGGATCTGTATGATATCTCATTGACAATATTACCATGGATTTGAATGATATCCCACCCATCAACAATATTACCATGAATCTGTATGACATCCCATAGACAATATTACCATGGATCTGTATGATATCCTACCCATCAACAATATTACCATGGATCTGTATGATATCCCATAGACAATATTACCATGGATCTGTATGATATCCCATAGACAATATTACCATGGATCCGTATGATATCCTACCCATCAACAATATTACCATGGATCTGTATGATATCCTACCCATCAACAATATTACCATGGATCTGTATGATATCCCATAGACAATATTACCATGGATCTGTATGACATCATATAGACAATATTACCATGATCTGAATGATATCTCATTGACAATATTACCATGGATCTGTATGATATCCTACCCATCAACAATTATTACCATGGATCTGTATGACATCATTTAGACAATATTACCATGATCTGAATGATATCTCATTGACAATATTACCATGAATCTGTATGATATCCCATAGACAATATTACCATGGATCCGTATGATATCCTACCCATCAACAATATTACCATGGATCCGTATGATATCCCATAGACAATATTACCATGGATCTGTATGATATCCTACCCATCAACAATATTACCATGGATCTGTATGATATCCTACCCATCAACAATATTACCATGGATCCGTATGATATCCTACCCATCAACAATATTACCATGGATCCGTATGATATCCCATAGACAATATTACCATGGATCTGTATGATATCCCATAGACAATATTACCATGATCTGTATGATATCTCATAGACAATATTACCATGGATCTGTATGATATCCCATAGACAATATTACCATGGATTCGAATGATATCCCACCCATCAACAATATTACCATGGATCTGTATGACATCATATAGACAATATTACCATGGATTTGAATGATATCTCATTGACAATATTACCATGGATTCGAATGATATCCCACCCATCAACAATATTACCATGGATCTGTATAAGATACCAGCCTATGCTTATTCACTACATCTTGTACCCGGGCTAGTTTAGTTGACATCAGGCTAGGCTTGGAAATAACAAGTTTAGTCACAAGCTTAATTAGGTTAAGTATGGGCCTAATCTCCAGGTCCCATGGCAACTTCTGTGCAATATGTGATGACCTTGTGTCCAAGCCCCACGTAACGAAAGGGTTATAAACATTCCAAATAATATTCTCTTTTTGAACGGGCCCTATCTCCAGGTCTTACGGAAAATTCTCTGCAATATATTATGACCAGGGGACAAGAGTTAAAAACATACCAGGTGACCGAGTCTAACATAATGAAAGGGTTAAAAACGTACCAGGTGACCAAGTCTCACATAATGAAAGGGTTAAAAACGTATCTGGTGACCGACGTCTCACATAATAAAAGGGTTAAAAACGTACCCGGTGACTGAGGTCTCACATAATGAAAGGGTTAAAAACATACCAGGTGACCAAGTCTCACATAATGAAAGGGTTAAAAACGTACCTGGTGACCGAGTCTATTAAAATGAAAGGGTTAAAGCATACCCGGTGACCGAGTCTCACATAATGAAAGGGTTATAAACGTACCCAGTGACTGAGTCTAATATAATGAAAGGGTTAAAAACGTACCCGGTGACTATGTCTCATATAGTTAAAGGGTTAAAAAATAACCCAGTGAACGCGGTCTCACATAATGAAATGATTAAGAACATACCTGGTAATATTCTCTTGTTGATCCGTAACTTGGTACGATACTGATTCCTAGATTCTCTTTACTCGTCTTGTGTATGACAATATCCCGTAACTTAAACCCTGACGGCTGTTCACTTTCACTCTCTGTATCTGACATTTCTGATGATCTGTATCCGTTATATCGCGGCCAGCTAGTCAACGGTCCCAACCTCTCGTGAAATGCATGCTGGGATTGTTTAGGCATGGTGTGTAGTTTAACGGATAACACAACGCGTAACGGCATCTCGTGAAACACTGTTACACATTCGTCATGAGTTAAATCAGCAAGGACTTTACCATTCACTTCCAGAATTTCGTCTCGGACCCGGATTCCCCGTGAACCTCCTGTGGCTCGATAAGCAGCACCCCCTAAAGTAACACTTTTAACAATAACCTTTTGCACTCTACTAGACCCCTTTTTTCCGGCCTCAACCCCTAATATCATTCCCAGATTTTCTCCTGGCAATCTATGAAGCATTAATTGTTCGACCGTTTCAACATCGGATAATCCATCCTCGTCACTTTTATAGTCCGCGTTATCCCTACTGTGAAACTTCCGATAACGTAATCCATATATAGTGTCGCGAACCGGAGACGCTATTTCAGATTCGGTGTCCGTCGTGCTTTCGTAGGAACTAGAATCGGTAGTTAAGTTCGCATTTTGCATGATAGACGAACCTTTATCCATAGGATAATAATTCCTGGAAAGTCCCGGAGCAGAATCACTGTCGTCAGGATTGACAATATACTGTCGATGTTTCCTTTGTGGATTATTAGTTTTTTGCTCCCCTTCTCCGTGGAAAGAATAAACGATATTTTGGCCCCGTCCATCTTGTGGAATAATATCAAATTGTTCTGATTTATCTGTGTTGTGTTTCAAGGGGGGAGAACTCAGATTTCTCTGCGAAAAAAGACTATGATCGAAATCTGAAAAATCTGATTCTGTGCTTTCTGACTCCATGTTGACGCTGTGTGTTCTGGGTGGTGGAGTTTTTGATCCAATCGATGATGCTGTAGGTCCCTCCGATAATGATCTCTGTAAACGCGCTAATTTAGCTTTACGGACTGGTGGTATAGGCACATTATTTTTATCCGCTTGGACGTCAGTTCTGTCTGCCTGAAAAAGATTTAATGAATGATTGTTAAATTCCGATTTTTTAATGAAAATGAAATGAAATGAAATGGAGTTTAATGTCCTACTGTTCGGCTCCGAACTGGGCTAATGAAGACGGGCATACGTCATACAGTGTGCTATGAGGGAAATTTTGCCTGGACAGCAACGCTACGGCCTACTCTTATATCTTTTACGTGCACGTCAATGTGTACACAGGACCTCTGTTTTTCGTATCATCCGTATGGCTAGACAGCTGTCCTTGTCAGGCCCTCCGTCCTGCATCACTGACAAGGGGAAACCATGCCAGATTTTTTAATGAATGAAATTAAATGGGGTTTAACGTATGTCCTACTTTTCTGCACCAATTGTGCTAATTAAGGGACGTGTTGCCTGGACAACCCACTCTTCAGCGAATTCCAACTGTCAAGGGTTCTTTTACGTGCACACCAAAATTGATTATTTAATTAAGAAATCAAAATATCACTGGTAGGTTATCTCCCAGCTTGGATTCAATGAGTTTCAATGAATGATGCCCATCAAAAGATTATAGTGAAGATTATTGCTTTTGACCATATCTTATTTATATCTTTGTAAATACTGATGTTGTGGTTTACAAGGGATTAAAAATGTCTCAGATGACAAGGTAGTTTGGGTGGCTCAGATGACAAGGTAGTTTGGGTGGCTCAGATGACAAGGTAGTTTGGGTGGCTCAGTGAGAAAGATGTTGGGTTGTTAGATGGAAGTCTCAGGTTTGCTCCTGGTGTCGACCCAGAAGGTTCCTCTGAATTTTTTTGGTATGGTTTCCCCTTGTCAGTGGTGCTGGATGGAGGGGCTGACAAGGACAGCTGTCTAATCATTCAGATGGGATGACAAACCAAGGTCCTGTGTACATATTGGCGTGCACATAAAAGAACTCTCGACAACTGTAATTTGATATACGAATAGGCCGTAACGTCGCTGTCTGGTCTCATAGCACACTGTATGGCGTATGCTTGTCTTCATTAGCCCAGTCAGTGCAAAAATTAGGAAGTAAATCTCTATTTCATTTTATTTCATTTCTGTTCACTACACAGATTACACAGTGAACATACAGGTTGTCTCAAATACTGTGTTAAAAAAATACATGGTGGACCCATTCCATTGTTTTATCATACCTGTTAGTTAACCTACCTATGAGAGATGTGTTTCTGTGAAACATACTTCAACTGAATGACTAAATCGTGGTGGTCCGATTCCATTGTTTTATCATACCTTTAAACCTACCTGTGAAATATGTGTTCCTGGGTTAAAAAAAAACAAAACATGGTGGTCTCATTCCGTTGTTTTACTATACCTGTTGGTTACCCTGAGTGATGTATTTCTATGAAACGTACTTGAACTAAATGACTAAATCATTGTGGATTGATTCCATTGTTTTAACCTACCTGTGAACGATGTATTCTTATGAAACGTATATCAATTGAATGACAAATCTTTTTGAGCCATATCCATTAGGTTTTTTTATCATACCTGTTGTTTAACCTACCTGTGAGTGATGTATTCCTATGAAACGTATATCAAGTGAATGACTAAATCGTTGTGGTCCGATTCTGTTGTTTTATCATACCTTTGAACCTACCTGTGAGAGATGTGTTCCTGTGAAATGTACATCGATTCTGATTTTCTTTTATCATACCTTTAATTAAACCTACCTGTGAGTGATGTATTCCTATGAAACGTACATCGACTGAATGACTAAAAGACAACAAGGTTATGAATACATCTATCTCTATGTATATTGATTAGTAATATCATAACCCTAGTGACAGATGGTCTGTTAAAACCCACCAACATCCTGTTAGATTGATTATATATTTATAACTTGATTATACTACAGGTAATATAGACGACATTCTTTAATTACAGGTAGGGATATCAGGTAATACAAGATGACTAGTCATCAGCATTAGGAAAACCAACTTCTTTATTTTATTGGTAATCAATGTAACAATCTCATATTCCAAAACATGGCAATCAGATTAAAATACAGATCTATATTTCGTTTCGTTTTTTTACACTACATGAAGATCTGACCAGTAGTAATGGGAGGTCACGTCAGGGGTCATACAAACGGATTTTGACCTATGCCGTCAGACAGTTTAGTATGTTACAGTGGGAGGAAACTGGAGGACCCAGAGAAAACCCAAGACGTTGTCACGTACAAGCAGGTAATCAAAAACACACCACTTGATTCAATGACAGACTTTGTGATGCAACTGTAGGCGTTAACCATTCGGTCACTCAACCACCCCTTCTCTAAAAGGACGATTAGCAAGTTTATTAATGAAAATTGCCTTTTAATATCTGAATGCACATAGATCATAAAGTCTGTCATTGAGTCAAGTGGCGTTGTTTTTTATCCCACACTTGTATGTGACAAGCAGTATGGTCGTCTGTCCAACCTTGTGTGTATTCTCAGGGTCTTTCCTCCCACTGTTGTAGAGAGAAATGAAATGAAATGAAATGGAGTTTAACGTCCTACTGTTTTGCTCCTATACTGGGCTAATGAAGACGGGCATACGCCATACAGTGTGCTATGAGGGAAATTTTGCCCGGGCAGCAGCACTATCGTCTACTCTTAAATCGAATTCCAACTGCCAAGGGATCTTTTACGTGCATTCTAATGTATACACGGGACCTCGGTTTTTCGTCTCATCCGAAGGACTAGACAGCTGTCCTTGTCAGGCCCTCCGTCCTGCACCACTGACAAGGGGAAACCACGTCGGAAAATCAGGATGAACTTTCTCGGCCATGTTGTAGAGAGAGAGAGAGAGAGAGAGAAAGAGAGAGAGATGGCTTTTAACTGTTACTGTCATGAACTAGGTCATTTCAGGACTAACACATGGTTCAATTTTTTATTTCAATAATTCGCTTGTGCATAGGGGTCTTTAGCAGTGGGAGGAAACTGGAGGACCCGGAGAAAACCCACGAGGTTGGACAGGTGACCCTACTCCTTGTCATGTACAACCGGGGAATCGAAACCCCGCCACTTGACTTAATGACAGACCGTGTGATACAGCGCGCACACTGTGTGAAGAAACAAATTATCGAAATAAAATTGTATGATCTGTTATTCCCCAAATGTACTAGTCTGTGAGTGGAAGTTAAATCTCTCTCTCTCTCTCTTTCTCTCCCTCTCTCATATATGAAGGTTTTCAGAGACTTGTATAATAGCAACTAGGTTAAACCTTAGGGGCGGGGAGGGGGTTCAAGACATGTTGCTTTCCCCTACATGTTTATGGAATACAAATACATACAGTGACACTCAGTAATTTTCTCTCTCTTGAATAAAGTTAAATTAGCTGAAGTAAGAATGGTGTATACAGACCTAATTATGAACATCAGCGAAATCCATAATAAAACAATGATTTAAAGCATATCCTAACACAGTTTGTCCTGAATAATCCCAACGGGTTCACGAGTAGAAAGACCTTGAGAGTCATAACTGATCTAACTATATCAGAAGACTATAAATTGAACAGCACCAGAAGGGTATGGCATGATTTATTTTCATTAATTAATTAATAATTAATTGATCAATCCAGCAACTAAAACAACTGATTGATTTATTATCTAATTAAATATTAATTAATTACCAGCAGTATACTTCAATATCTAATTAGCCTGATGCTATACAACAAAGAGAGAGAAAGAGAGAAATGGGGTTTAACATCCACTCAACACAAACTAGGTCATTTCAGGACTAACATATGGGAGAATTTTATTTCAGTAATTAACTTGCGCGTAAGATGTCCTTATAGCAGTGTGAGGAAATTGGAGTACCTAATGAAGAAAACCCACGATGTTGAACAGGCAAAGAATGAAAAAGAAACCAATAAACAGCTAAGAAAAGGGAACCAAGGGTCATGTGCCGGAACATGCCCTCTTTTGTTGATGCAAGGGCCCCATTGCAATTTCAGCCAGGGACCCATGACAAGTTCGCTCAATCCAGCCCTTAACAGGTTGTATGGATGTGTTTGTAAATATGTTTATCTGTGAGCGAGTGAAGCCTGGGGAATGTTCTATTAAAATGCCAAAGGAATTTGTCCCATGAAGTAAGGTAGGCATCTCTACTCTTTGTCAAATACAGGCCTGGGATCGAAACCACGCCACTTGACTCAATGGCAGACCTTATGATCGAAAGCTCATGCGTTAGACCACTTGTTGACCCGTGATGAGACATCATTAGTTCAGACTTGTCTTCTGAGTTATAACTGTCAAGTAATGTTGATCTAATTTGTTGACGTCTGTTTTTTTTCGTTTAGCCTATTTAACCAGACTAGTTCCTTACCATTGTCCACTATAGTAACCAAAAGTTTACTAAAGCACCCTGTTCAATTACAGTAACCACAAGCCTACCATAGCGCCATAAGGAGATGCCATCCTACCAGCTTTTTAAATAGACAAGTTTATCAGGCGTGGATCCAAGGTTTGGGGCGCCCCCCTATTTTTTGCGGTGGCGAACAATTTGCGGGAAAGGAGAACAAAAATACTTAAAAATGGTAGTGATCCCTGTCGTAATTTACTCAGAAACAAGCCGGTTGGTGACTTGGTTGATTGCCCGTTAGTCCGCCCACCGAGGTCTGGGCTTTGCACTCCCAAGTGGGGGCAGCACGCCCCTCCCCTTTCTGAAAATCCTGGATCCGCCCCTGTTTATAGATTATCAGGGGTTTGTTGGACTGAATGGTTTAGCACTTGTTCTTCAGATCATAAGGTATATGTCATGGAGTCAAATGACATGGAGGTTGGTCGCCTTTTCCAATCTCATGGCTTTTCTAAGGGTTCTCAGGTTCCCTCCCACGGCTAAAAACCCCAACGCACAAGGGAATTATTGAAATAAAATTGAACCATATGTTAATTACGAAATGATTTAGTTTGTGTCAAGTGGACATTAATCCCCATTTCTGTCTCTACTGACCATCAGAGTGGACGTTAAACCCTCCCTCTGTCTCTGT